TGGAGAACTTTCCAATTGGCTCCCAGGGCATTTTCCTGTCCAATCCACCACTGACAGATGTAGTTCATTTTAGAATATTATTAAGCTAGACTGCCCTTTAGGTTGTTGGATTCGCAGGTGTTTTGTAGTGATTGTACGATGTCTGTCTAATCAATTTGGCTGCATTTCTGAACCAAATGACTACTATTCCCTGCAAACATTATCTCTGAAGGTTCTTAAGAATTCTCATTATTCTTAGCATAATTGTGCAATTAGTAAGCAGTATCCTAAGCTAGAAAACTTAGAGAAAGACCCAACTTTCTTCTTATGTATTCAAGACCTAGTTGGAGCAACTTTAAAAAGAGTGGTAAATAGAAACTTTCTTTACTTGGCCTATCATTTGTTTCCTAGATTTAATGACATTCAGTACTGTTACACTCCCTGCTAGGACCTTGGTTTGGGGGGAAGAATATTTGCACATTGAATTATGAATAGATGTAGGAGTGGGAAAAGATGGACAGGAAGTCAGACTGTATAGAACAGAGAAGAATTTGAGACCTTCACTATACGTGGATTAATCACAAGAACTAACCATGCAAAACCAAATGGATATTTAGAAGTCGGTGAAGCCTCTCAGATGTTCTGTGGGAAACACCATACATTTTCTAATGCATGAGTATGTGCAAAATGGTGTGTAATTTATAATGGGCGTATTGACAGAACTTCAACATTTGGTGTTGCAAATGTGCTATATAATATATTTACATGTGAATAACATTTCACATATATGGTCACATCTGTACCCAACATATTTCTTTAGTTGGGGCTAGATTCAATAACTTAGGTGAATGGTTATAATAAGGAATAATAAGCTGTCATTTTGCTAATCTTACGATGATAGTTCAGCTTTGGGAACTGCATTACTATTAAATTGGTCCATGAAAATCTGGCAATATTAATGCTATCAAGCATGAAAACTAACTGGATTTGGATCAGGGAGCTTTATTTATAGCATTTTAGTGAGGATTTATTAGTTTAAAGAGGAAGCTATGTGTCTCATGGGATCTTAAATAGAGTAGGAAGTCGTGTGTTCCCTTCTAAGTGCAGTAACAATTATAACACAACCTAAAAACATTATAGACGACTTTATGTTCATTTCAATTTCCTTGTTATGCAAAGGTAGATGACGAAGTAATAGCAAACCCTAGAAAGTTTCTAGACATATCATATAAACGCTTAGTTCAGATGTAAATCTTTATAACTCACAATTAATCAGAAGAGAAATAAAAGAGAATGACTTACACTAACATGAAAAAAACATTGATCCTTTCATATTGAATAAGCAAACATATATTTAAATGTTTTAGCTGTTATATGTTCTTACATTTTGTTGTGTTTTTTTAAATGCTCAAACTGATTTCTGTCTTTTTTCATTTCTTTGGTAAAATTGTCATTACACCCTGGTTTTGTCCTTAAATAGTACCTGCGAGTTCAGGACTAGACAGGTTTGCTATGAGTGAAAAAAGTTACAAGGGGAACATCATCGTTCATTTTTCTCCTATTTCACTTGGAATTGAATTACTAAATGAAAGTTTGTGTCAGTTTAATTCACTTCTCCATAAAGTTTATGGAGCAGCAACAGCTGGTTGAATCTATGGCAGAAAAAGCCAACTTCTAGTGGCCAAGCCATTGTTTCAGAATTAAGGGGGAAAACTCATTAACTGTTAATGAAAACACAGGGAATAAAAACAAATAGCACAGAAACCCTGGCAAATAATTACCTTACACCTGACACAAAACTGCTTTATCTTTCTGCTCCAACCCTCAGAAATTCCCAACTTATCACTCTATGGAGCATGAATGAAATTGAGTTTGATTCTCAGAAAAGAACAGTAGAGAAATCATCCCCTTATGGGCCCCTCAGCACAGATACTCAGTGGAGAACCTGCCATTGAATATACTAAGGAGTGTATGTAGGACCCAATTCTTATGACACTTAGAATAAAGGAGCAAATTACCAGCTAACAGCATGCACACCCTTGATATAGTTCCTCCAGATCTTGTTTAGAAATACAAAGAGAAAGGCTGAAGGTAATGGACGTGATTAATGGAGATATGGTGTGTTAAAATATATATCTGTATAGAAATATATTGATTCTGAGCGAGTTGCAGTGGGGAGTGTGTCTCCAGTGGCAGAGGGTCTTGCTTGTGAGAAAGCCACTCTAAGCAGATGGAGTTCGAAGCCCTAATTGTAGAGCTGCTGAGTGGAAATGTCTGTCACTATAGTTTGTGATCATTTATGTCTGATCCCACTGGACTACAAGTCGTGACCACTTGGAACTGCAATTGTCAGAGCTATAGACGAATCCAGAGTGTATGCATGGTTATGTGTTAAGGAAGAATGATGCTCTAAACTTCAGCAAACCCAAAATAACCACAATAATTGCTAATTCTTCTATAAAACTTTTCACCCATGCCTCTTTAGCAGTTGTAATCATTTTAATTATAGAGGGAGTGTCTATTTACACAGTGTTACAGGTTAGTTTCTGTGTGAGCCCAAGGGAGTTGGGCCATTTGGTGTGACATTAAAAACACTTCTAACAACATCTTCATCATCAGGAACTAATTGTGCTTACGTGTAAGGCATATTTTAAAATGTTTTCCCCAATCACAATTATCTGACCTGGGCTCTGTTTGCTACTTTGAGTTGCATCCTCCTTGTTGCATAATTCACAAGGGCACAGCCTGGCATTTGGCACAGGGGATAGTTGTTTAAAAGTGTACTTTAGGTAACTAGTTAGGAACTACAGGAATCATGTGGAAGTGACTTTTTCATCTGAAATTAGTAAGTCGTGTGAAATCCAGGCAGGCGTTTTGGGTGAGATTTTAGAAAGGAAACTGAAAATGCAATGTGATATCCTGGATTGGATCCTGAAACAGAAAAATGACATTAATGGAATTTTCTTTTCTTTTGGTACTGAGGTTTGAACTCAGGGCCTTGCACTTACTAGGCAGGTGCCTCTGCCATTTGAACCATGCCTATAGCCACACTAATGGGAAATTTTGTGAAATGTAAATAAAGTCAGTACTTTAGTTATTAGTAATGTGCCAGTGTTAATTTTTTGGTTTTGGCATATCCTGTACTTCAGTTATGGGAGTTGACATTGGGGGAACCTGGGTGAAGGGTATACATGAACTCTGTACTATCTTTACAACACTATATAAGTCTAAAATTATTCTAAAATAAAAAGTCACTAAAATACAAAACAACAAAAGCTCTTCCTGATCTGCATTTTAAAAAACAAAAGCTTAATATGCTTGAATGTGTTAGAGTAGTTGTTTTTCTTTCCCCCTTTAGTGGGAGATTTGTCAGATTTCTGAAGCAAGCAGAAAACATTGAGTCCATAATGACAGTTGAAAAATATCCTACAAATGTCAAATTTTGTTTGGCAACACAAACTACCTTTTTTTTTTTTTTTAAAGGATTTTGATTTGACTCAAAATAAAAATTCCTTTTAATATTGAAGCTAACTTTCAGGTTTCTGGCCAGGGAATCCATTTACATTGTTGTTGATAATGTAATTTCAGTAGATTTGCCAAATTGTAAATTTTGAGCATTTAACCCTCTGTCCAACATTTGAGATTTTTTTCCCTGGTTCTTCTGGAAATTGCACAGTGATGCTTTACGCTTAAAGCTTTGTATCCTGATTATTGGATTAATAAAGGAGAACATTTTTTCTGGCTCCAGCCAGTGACTGTTGGCATGTGTTTAAATTTTTTTCTACAATAAACACTACAGTTTATTCTGAAGTCCTATATCTGCAGGTGTTCAACTTAGTTATAGACATCTACCTGCCACTGAACAGCCAAAGAAGACTCCAGATACAATCATTTAATTTATGGAAAGAGAAGGCCACAGCCATCCTCTTTTTATCATTTTATGTCCTCCCTATCCTTCTAGTTTAATTGTAGGAAATAAACCTTTAAAGTGAGGCAATACAGATTCTATGTAGGTTGTTTGGTTTCACTGCTCCCTAGTTGAAATCCCGGGCCAAGACTCTACAGTGTTTACTGAGATTAGCATTGGTGATTTCCTTTGGAAATTAGTATTTGAGATAATATTAAATTCAATTGAAAATCCCTTTTTCATGTTTGTGAAATGAACTAAGCAGCTGTCGGTATCCTTTTATCAACAGACTGAACCTCTGTTTCAGGGATTTTAAGGAAAGCCATTTGCAGTGCTTTCATTTTCTTCCGGTTTCCAATGAGCTAACATCTTCCGTCTGAACCTTTTAAAAGTATCATAATGGCGTTGACCACTTCTACAAAATACATTTCAACGTAGGTTAAAAACACCCAAAAGGGATTAGCATTGTTTTAATTGCATAATTCAGTACTGCATATACATTACCTTTTATCAAAGTCATTTTGCAGAACAAATATTACCTTCTTAGGGCTTTTAGAATTCCTAAGAGGTTGGTTGCATAGGCTGTAAACTGGAATTACAAAGAGAGAACTTCCTTAAGGTTGCAATAGAATAGAATCCAGCAAAGTTTAGGTTCTACATTTACTTCTCTTGTTTTCTAGAGGATGACAGAATATCGACCTTGCTAAATTGTATTATGTATAGAAGGTTAACCCTTTGTGTAGATCCTTCTATTTTATTTGGCAATATAAAGAGAAAGAGACATTCAAGGGAAAGATTGCAATTAATGAAGACAGAGTAGATTAAAACAAATTCACATTTTAAGTGTGATTTTGAGAAACTTCTCTCTAGTGGCAAGAGGTCTTCCCACTGTAAGCTAACAGTTCCTTAGTTTTAGTTAGTTACTTGAGTAAAAAATATCCTATCCAGGTAAGTTTATTGTTGAGTTTATTTATGTGTTTTTAACGTATTAATTGATAATGGACGTGTTCATGGAGTAAAAGATGCATCAATTTTTATGAATACCAGAAGAGATCTACAAATATCCTTATAAAGATGTCCAAAAGATGGCCTCACTTTCGTTTTCATCCCTCAGTTGGAGACCTTGGACAGGACAGCTCTGACGATAACCACAGTGTGACTCATGGCCCACCTCTCACATCAGATGTACCCTTTTGGCCAGATTATCAGGATGAAGGTGAGTGTCATCTTTCTGGATTTTGGGTGCCCATACTTTTTACCTTTTGTCCTGCTGGCTTTGCCTTCTGTCGTTTTGTATCCAACAGTGGGTTCTCTGTATTGGTAATCACTAATTTGTAAAGAACAACTGTTTGTTTCATTGTGGTGCTGATCCTCATGGGTAATTCAATACTCCTGAAGTTAATGTATTTAGGGAAACACTAATTCCATACTGGAGCAGGAAGACATCACTATTGATCTTTTTATAAAAAAAAAAAAAGTAGCTCAAAAACTAGGAAAGCAGATTACTTTTCTTTTGGATCTCTTGGCTTCACTGAGGTACATGAGAATTGGATCTTCCACTTAATGATAATTGGATTATTAATTTATTGTGGATCATTTGAGACCTTTGAGCCCATTATATTATATATCATTATACTTGTTCTTCCCTGTCCCTCACAAAATTGCTATTTCAAGGGGAAGGGAAAGCCACAGAACTGCAATGCAAATCTTACTGGAGCATCAGTTTCACTTGACTATTTGGAAATGGCAGAAGTTAAAGATTTCAACTATTATAAACATTTTGACTTAAAATACAATGGTACATAACAGTGAAATGCAAATTAGAAGATATGAATATGAAAATTTTGACCTTGTGGCTTCCAGTTTCTGGCTCAGGCTCATATTTCCCAAGGGTGGGAGAGCACGGTGGTCTCCTGGCATCTGGCCACTTGAGCAGAAGGTTCAGTCATCATGAATGTGTACGTGTTCTTATCAGTCTCTCTTGTGCCTTTTCAGTGGGGTAAAAAGGTAGAGATGCTACTAAACTGAATATTAAATTGGAAACTTATTATTCTCTTAGGGATTGGGAATAAAGTTAGTAAATTATTCCTTATTTATCTTTATTAACCTGTAATCTTTTCATTTGTTTTCCTCCAAATTTCAAGAGCATATAATCCCTGTTTTCCTCTCTTTTTCTTACCTATTCATTGATTACTATTTCATTTAGGCCTTTTAGCAAGTCATATTTTTTCCCTTTAACTGAACTGCTAACCTCCACCTCAAAACTGTGGACTGAATTACACAGAAACATTTTATTTTGTTTGAGCTTTGAATACCAGCAGAATTGGTAGTGATAGGGCATGAATCTACATGGTGGACAGACTGCCTAGGGAGGTTTTCAGGAAGGGGAGAGGGAAAGGATACTTAGGAGTGAGGAGGATGGTAGTATGCTATATATGAAGACAGCATAATGAAACCCACCAAACAGTTTGAAAAATGGGGGAGGAGGAAGAGGAAGAATAGAAATATAGTGGAGGGGTGAACTTGTTCAAGGTACACTGTACATGTATATGGAATTATCACAATGAAATCCCCTCATATTATTAACATGATAATTAAAAAATGATATAAAAAAATCAGGACTTAAAATCTAAACTCTATATTGGTTCAGGTATTACACTAAAAACATTGTTTGAATTGAAAACTTAATAATTACCTTGGTAGCTGATTAATAGTTATAGAAATCTAACAGTGCAAAACATGAAGAAACCAACCTTACATTTGGCTTTGATTAATCTAATGCTTGACAGAATTAGAACAATAGTACCTCATTAATCCATAGGTCACTTATTTGGTATTTCCAACTTTCCCAAACACAGCTGAGAACACAATAAGTAAGCCAGAAAGACCTCTAAGTGGAAATAGTTGTTACCAAATCCCATGTTAACACTTGTGTACCTTATTCTTAGGAGAGGGACTGAGACCCTCGCTGGGGAAATCCTCTTACAACTGTTTCAAATTAGAAGGGGTATGGTAAGCCAGGTGTGATGGTTCATGCATCTAATCCTAGCACTCAGGAGGCTGAAGAAGGACCAGGAGTTCAAGGCCAGCCTAGGGTAAAAAATAAGACTCTCAAAAACCAAACAAAAAGAAGAAGAAGGGATACTGTAAAGACATCAGGTAGCAAAAGATATTGAGGTAAGAGTCAGGAAAGTAAAAATTTGTATAAATAAAATTTATATAGGGATTAAAAAAACATAGCAGTCTGGGCCTATTTTGTATTATAGAGAAAAATGGTCCAAATTCTTCCCTAAGAGCCCAGTACCTGAATAAATTAAAACTCTTAAAGGAAGCATTTACTGAACACTTACTATGTGCCTTCCACTTGTGTGCAAAGCACTTTGCATATATCATTCATTCATGAGACCCTGGGTTCCATGCCTACACTGAAAAAAAAATTGGGATGAAAGAAGTAAACCTAGTATCTGGAAAATTCCAAAGTTGATAACTTTGTTCTGTAAAGGTTCCCCTAAGAGAGGAGCTAATTATATTAGTAATATATATGTCATAGGTTTTTGGTTTTAGTTCTGCACATGAAAGTTAAAAGAATTCCCAAAGTAACAAAGTCAGTGGTAGAGGCAGGAATAGACCTACTATATGTTAGAAACTTGACTATGGGGATGATGTGATGATGTCTGAGTTTCTACAAAGTATTGAACCCTGTACAGTGTCTGAGTGCTCATTGTGTAACAGGCAAGATTAATGTTTCCCTCCCCTGAAAATTAAAAATACATACATTTCCTATTAAACAGAGGATTGTGTAAGTATTAAACCTTCAAGTAAACATTATATACTATTATTATTATTATTATTTGTAGTACTGGAGTTTGAATTCAGGGCTTCAGCTGCTAGACAGGTGCTCTATCACTTGAGCCATGACTCAGTCCAACAATACTTATTTAGAGATACCAAAATAATTCTGAGACATTATATAAGCGGCAAGTGAAAAAGCAGACACAGTTCCTGTCCTCTTGGAGCTTGCCATTTCATTGGGAAATACACTAAGTAGGCAAATAAACAAATGCAAAATTAGTGTCTTCATTTGCTGGTGGAATAGCTGAGACACTTCTTTAGGAAGAAAATATGTTCTCCTTTAACTTGCATTGTAGCAACAGTTATTTCAGGCTTTTGGAATTTTATCTTTATTAGACAATGTCAAAATATTTCAGTCTTGTTATCTTCTATCCCTAGCCAGAGGATTGTCCTAAACTCAGAATTATAAAATGACACACAGTCTCGCCCATCTGTCCATACATTACTTCAGTGATGAGAAACAGTAACCATGGTGCATGTTGTATTTGGGTCATGCCTGTATGAAAACTATGAAGAGGTCTAGAGGAATATAGAAACCTAACTAGGTGCACAGCAAAAATGAAAACCAGGGTTACAGGCTAACCCATGCATAAAAATAAGAGCATGTGCTATCTACTCACAATTCCTTTTCCTTTTCCTTCGCAAATACTCACAATCTGAGGGCAGGCTAAATCCTGTGGAGAGACACTGACTCACAAGAGCATACTCCACCATCAGAATGGAGACTTGCTAATAAGGAGTAACATTTAGATTTCTAAATTAAAAGTATAGTTTCTACCATGGCAAAGGGAAAGTTTTAGTAGGAAACATTGAATACAATAACTGTACAAAAGCCAGACAACCAAGAAACTCAAGATCTGATTGCTTTCAGTGTACAAAATATGCTATGGATTTTAATGCATCTATAAATGCATTTCATTAGTATAATGAAGAACTTCTATCACATACTCTTTAAAAGATAGTTTGGGAAAGGTGATTTTCTATAAGCAAGGTATAGTGAGTTCTTCTGGAAGAAAGAAAAAATTAAATTATTTTAGTAGAAACCTAAAATCTTTAATAATGTTTTATTATGTATCATATTGTAACTAAAGGAAGAAATCGGACAGATATATCTGTAAAGAAAGCTTATTTTTATATCAGATTGTTGAAGGTTGGAGAAGGTTCTTATTCTCCAGCAAAATGAGAAACAAATCGAGCAAGTGAAGACTTTTAACTGTCTTTGGAGAAAAGTAATGATGAATAACTGACGAAACTGTTGTTGATAAATTTATTATATCCTTGTTGAATTAAAAGAAATTGTAAACCTGTTAAAGTATCCATAGTGGCCATTTTCAACTCCATGCCTCTCTGAAAGGTACATTCTAATATATATAAAATATTCTGGAAGTAAAGGGAATTGGGTTTGTTTTGTTTTAAGGCACTGGGGCTTGAACTCGGTGCTTGTTAGGTAGGCGTTCTATCACTTGAGCCCTGAGAATTGTTTTGTTTTTTTTTTTCTTTTTACAGTGTTCTTTTAGTACTTTTTATTTTTACATCTCACTGTTTTTATTTTAGTTCTTAAATATAAGTCAATTTTGGATTTAAGGGCTGGGGATGTAACTCAGTGGTAGAGCACTTCCCTAAAATGCAGAAGGCCTTGGATTCAATCTCCAGCACTAGGAAAAAAAAAAGATTATGAATAACAGTAGACCTGCTTTTGTTGATCATTGTGGGTTTTTATTTTTTAATAAAGGGAAGAAGACTTTAGAACTTAAAGTATTTTATATAAACTGTTTTCGTATTGCAAAATGAAAGTGAAGGCTTAATTTATTGACTAGGATTTTGAGGCTGGAATTCAAGTGTATACTAATTTTTATTGTGTCAAAGTAAGAATCATGGAGACTGGGAGTTGGAAGTGGTGATAAAACTGCTTCTTATGGGTTATCTCATTTAATTCTCAAGCCACCTTAGAAAGGAAGCTACTGTTCCCCATTTTGCAGGTAAAGAAATGAAGCATAGAGAAATTAGGTGATTTGGCCACAGGTGGCACATCTAATCTATGTGGGGGATTGGGACCCTGAGAGATGCCTTAGTTACCCATTGAGTGGGCTTTCCAACTCATTCTCCTCACTGCCTTTTTCCCACTAATACATTGTTGGTTTTTTAAAAATGAAGGTATCCAGAGATAAAAATTATCCTCTAACTACTGCGTTACCAGCACTCACAAAATTCCATTCCAAATTACATATGGAATTTTTGGATTATAATATGTAATCTCATTCTAAGTATTTTATAATTTGCTGTATGGAAATTATGAAATTGTCCCTTTTAACCTGCATGTTCTTTAGAAGTACTTGCGGTGTTTTTGTTCTAGTTTTAGTTTTG